GGTAATATATACTAAGGCAAATATATTCACTAGACCAAAACTTCTAAAACCTAGTAATGCTTGGCCAATTAATCTTGGAAGCCCTGCATCTAAATTTTCTTTTTTAATTCCTTCACTCACTCATTCATTCACTCATTTGATAAACATTAGTCAGCATCAAGCCCTCCTGCAGCTTACAGTCCAGATAAAAAACACACGTTAACAAATAAGCACATAATTATACATTTTAGTTAGTGATATGAAGGAAAAGAACAAGCAAGCAACAGAGAGCTTAAAATAGTTAGTGCACCAAATTTATTTGTGGTATCAGAGAAGACTTCTCTGAGGATGTGCTAAGTTAGACTGAAAAGATGAAAAAGAGAAAAGAGAAGAAAGTTAATCCAGAAAATTGGAAGAAAATGAATGAGGGCATGAGTAAAACAAAGCAAACCAAACAAAAAGCACAGTCTTATTGAGGAATTAAAAGAAAACTCAACTCAGTGAGAGTTGGGAAAGTGGGACAAAATGAGGCTGCAGAGATAAGAAGGAGCCAGATCACATACAACTGCACAGGTTATAATAAAAAGTCTTTCATTTATTCTAAATGCTTTATTCTTCTGTCACTGAAGAATTTAAGCAGCTAAATGATGTGATGTGATTTGTGTTTTTAAAAAGATCACTAGAGAATTTAGGCAGAACATTTTTTAAACTACCCTCCCTCCCTCAAAACCCACTGAAAACAACAAAAAAAAGGCAAAAGAAAAAACACCATCTCCAACGAAACAAGGAAAAGACCACAACCACAAACCACAAAATATGACGATTATCTTCCAAATACTGAGAAATTTTGTGGTAAGGAAAGATGTTGAGAGATGACCAAGAACAAAAAACCTCCTCAGACCTCAAATCTTGGACAGGCTGCAGATATCTAAATGCATATCAATCCTAAAAGTTCATTCCAAAAATCCTTTGATTAACAATGATGAGGTTTAAAGGGAATGAGAAAGCCACAATAGATATGATTAATGACCCAGTGAAGACCCAGCTCCAAACAGCCAAGAGTAAAGAAGGTAGATTTGAAGAGGAAGAACCCATCATTTTTATGATCTGCAACTAAACCTCCTAACCCCAGGAGATTTCTGGTGGTGAGAAGGGATAAAAAACAGGAGCATAAATCATCATATTCGTTCTTAGAGGGCCTGTGAAATAAAGGGCTTCATAACAAATTGTACATGAAAATAAGAGGAGATATGTCTCTGGGTAGAGGACAAAATAAATACGATCAGATGGTGTTTAAAGGCAGCCACCTAAATTTGACACTGTGTACCACTCCACCTTACTTCCCTTTGCCTTTCCTGTACTATTCTAAAACAAATAGCGGCCCAGTTAGAGTTCTCTTTATTTTAAAAATGGCTAATAACCAGAAAGAAACCAGCAGGCGACCTATACATACATATCGAGGAGAGGGGGAAGTCTGAGGACAGAAACATAAATTAAAAGTAGATGAAAATTATTTATCAGAGGAGGAATTACTCCACACAACAGAGAAAAAGTTCAGTCATATAGATGCAAAGAATTTCAAGACGTCATTTTTCTATAAAAAGAGAGCTCAAAAAAGAGTTATAAGAAATAAAAACAACAATGAAGTTAATGAAATGTGAACCAGAAGAGTTTAAGAAAGACATGAAAAGAGCAAAAAAGAAACCATTATGGATGAAAGCCACGCCAGATACAATAAAATCTGATTAAATACAATTGAAAAATCAATAAAGGTATGTGAGTGCAGAATAACTGAATTCACACAAAATTAAATAGCAAAAAGCAATCACATAGACATGCTTGTAGAGAAGATAATAGTATCTATCATCACAAAGGACATCCAACATATATGTATGTTGGGGTGTCCGAAGAAGATGGAAAAATGGAAAAGAAAAATATTTGAGGAAATAAGGGAAGATGTTTCTATAATGAAATAAAAATAATCTTCATATTAAAGGAGTACCAGAAAAAACCCGATACAGACCTAAATAGGTTTAATGAACTTCAGAGATGATGAAAGAACTGCACAGGTGTATGGTGGAAAAAATCATCACCTACAGGTAGGAAAAATCAGGCTGGCCTCAGAGACTTCACATAGTAACATCTACTTCAAGAAATGGGGCAACAATCCCCACAAAGTTCATCATTTCATCACCATTCACATTTTCATTAGCTTTTAAAAAATCTACCTTTAGTCTTCTACCTTACGCTTAAGTTGGACCCATGAAGTTCAGTAGTGACTTTCCTATCAGAAGAGCCAACGCATTTCCTGCACTGTTTTTCAGTACGCATCCTTCTTGACTTCTACGTAGCTTTTGGCGCTGCTGATCAATTTCTTCTCAAACCTCTCTTCTACGTTATACTCTTCTCTCCCGTCTGACTGTTCATTCACATTTCTGCTTTTTTTCTGCCATAATCCCAAAGCAAATATTCCCCATGATTTGGCTCTTGACCCTATGCCAAACTCCTTTCCCTGAAAATTATCCAACCCTATAGCTTCAACTATAATATTGATAGGAAGACTCCCAAATCTATATCCTTATCTTGATCTCTCTTTTCCACTTCATTTTCTTAATTTTTCCAACAGCTGACTGAATTTTCAACAGTATCTTCAATGTTCTAACTTAGTTTCCTCTCCTAAAATTGACTTCCTCTCTTAATTACTGATTTTAGTAATGGTATTACCATTCTCTCAATCCACAGACTTAAAAACTTTAGACATCTTTGATTCTCTTCCTTTCTGTTTGGTCCCTAGGTCCAGTTAATTTCTTAGTTCTACCAAATCTTTCTTCAAAATATTTCTTAAATCCTACCTTTCCTTTTCATTTTCACTGCTGTCATCCTAGATAATGTCCTAGTCTTGTAACATCAAGATGATAGCAGCAACTTCTTGTTTGTGCTGGGCACTACTAACAGAATGACTTCCCTATTAGTATCTCTGCTCAGAAACCTACAAAATTCCCCATGAGAACAAGATAAAGTTAGAACTATCAGTTTGACAATTATAACTCTCCATAACCTGACAACATCTAACTTGGATCTTATATTTGTCCAACATTATTCAGTCTAACATCATGAAAGAGCTGGAGCTTTAGAGGCAGAAAATCTGAATCCAAACCCTGGCTCCGTCATTTATTAGCATTGTGGTTATGAGCAAGGAAATTAACTTTTCTGGGCTTCAGTTTCTTCACCTGAAAAATGAGGATAATAATACCAGCCTCACCAAATTTTTTAAGATAAGATAATGAATGTAAAGGGTATGGTAGAGCGTCCGCCACAAAGTAAAAACTCAGTAAATGATAGCTGTCATGCCACTTTTCCTATATAAAAGACCAGTTCCTTTCCCCTATCAAAATCTATCCATTCTTTGAGGCCTAAGTTATTACTAACTTTGTCCACAAAAACCCATTTTGAACAGCTCAGCCTTAAGTGATCTTTCATAGGGATCTCCTCAGAAAATATTTCTCTTATAAACATTTGTACCTCATACCCTTAGTTTGTAAGCTCCTTCTGAAGAGTGACTATGATATATATACTTTGTGTTCTTGTTTTGCCCATAGCAGAAACTAAGTAAATATCTGTTAAATATTATTGCTTCATCTACCAATTTTGAAATGACTATTTTGGGATTTATAGAAGAGCTTAATGCTCATCTCATCATACTGACTTTTTCTGAAGAAAGTAAATGGCTTCTGTAACTCTTTATTTAATATGACCTGCCCAGTAGCTCAGTTTTATTACTAAGATGTTAATAATTAATTGCTATAGCTGACAAGAGTTTATTTCTCTATAGTAATACATTTTTCAGATTTTATTTTAAAACCTTTAAACATTAACTCTAATAAGAATTGTTCAATACCTATCAAATCACTTCAAACAAGAACCACAAAGGAAGCGTAAGCTAAGCAGGTGATGTCATCTTCTCCCATTCAATTGCCTCTGGAACCAAACCAATGACTCAAATTTTATTTTCATCAAAGAAAGAAATACTTTAAGATATATTTTAGTCTGCTTGCAATTAGAAAATTATTTTCTAAACACATACAGGTTGATTACTTAAGATATAAAACATAAAAGGCAAAAACATGTTTCTAATGTGATTTTAAATAGATTTAAATAAGTTTTAAATGACTAAGAAATTTTTCAAATGTTCATCTGTAATTGCCCCTACACAACAAAAGAATTTCAGAGCTGAAAACATCTGTCTATTATCTCATAGTTTTGTTTATATATTATTAAATAAGTGATTTGGCTGGGTTTTTTCCCATTGAATAGACAGATGGGCTGTTAGCTATTTTTTTGTATTAGGTAGCTGGAGATTTTATTAATTCATAAATGTAAATGAACTATGTCATTAAAGATTTAATGAAATATGTTATTCTTAATAGATACTAAACTATTTCATTTAGAATGATAATACAAGGGTTTTCTTTTTTCCAGTCAATGATTGACTACAAAATTATCTCTATCTAAAATAAATTTTTATACTCTCTTTTAATCCACTTGATATTATTTAAAGTGGATAAATCCACTTTAAATACAAAGATGTGTTTAATGATTATCAATTAATTTAATTGATGTATTTAATGTATTTTTCTTTAGTGTACTACAACTTTCATATTCTTCTCTTAACATGATTATGTATTAAGTCTATGGTTTTTCTATAAAGAATGCTGATATATATTTAGCAGTTGAATTCCTGGTTGAATTTCAACTGGACAAGAAAAACATAGCTTACTCATCACTTTACCAGAATTAAGTAACCTTTCAGTCTGCCAATAAAAACAGCAACAAAAATACAACATTTGAGCCAGAGTTGCATTCTGGTTGGATGTATTATAATAACGACAAATTCACTCACTATAGCCAGGATATATTTCTGAAACAGATCCAATCTGTTCTGTATTGTTCAGTCTAGAGATTTCTTTTTGATAAGTTAATACATTAAGACAGATTTAAAAAAAAAAAAAAAAACAACTTACGGGAGGTCCAGTGTCCCCTTTTGGCCCTCTTAGAGTCTCCATTTCGAGCATTGTATTAAGATCCTCATAATAATAATAATAATCATAAAGTTCAGTCTCATAGGTACTTTCGATGGGGTAGGTAGCGTCAGGATCAAATTCACCTTCTGTCCTCAGGTCAAGGTGATTGTCCACAGCCGGCTCATCTGTCACTCTGTATAAGGTTGTGTTTAAAATCTGGTGTAGTTCCATGAGTTCATTAGTGTGTAGATTTGCTGTGATAGCCTTCTTGAGATTAGTAATTGTTTCTTGTTTCATATGTGGAAGAACAGATGATATCTTCTTAAATGGTGACAAACCAGTTACTCTATCATTATGCTGTGTGATATTGTCAGACACATTTGGGAGAGAACTAAATTTCTCCTTGCTATTTGTTCTCGCCTTATTGAGATGATGGGTCACTGACAGGCTTAAATTTGTCTGAGTATGTTCCTCAGTGATCATTTCTTTGGCCTGAATTCCATGGTTTACAAGATCCACAGCAGAGACATTGCTTGAATGAAGAGAGGTTGACTGAGATTTTGATATCTGGTGTCCTTGTTGTTTACGGACTGTGGCAGAATCATTATTTACGATATTTGGGATGCTTTTGCCTTTGGTAAATGTGTCCTCTGACAGCAATTTTTCGCCAAATTGTTTGGGCAAAGGAGAGTTTTCCAGTATCTCAGCTGGTACGATGGTTGTATGAAGAAGGCTTATCTCAGGGCGACAATGCTGCTTCACATATTTGCAATAATCTGCAGATGCTTCTGCAGAAGGAATAATATCCAACTGACATACTATTCCTTCAAAATGTACAGAATTATTATTCATACTTCCTAAGGTAAACACACTGTTAGAATCAAAAGTCTGAACTTCCAAAAGAGTCTCTCTGCTAAAATATTTCTTTCCACACTCAACAAACATTGAGACAACTTGGTTTCTAATAGTAATAGCAAATGAGTGCCATCGCTCATTGTGAAAACTGTAGTTGAAAAATACAGACTGCTTTCCTCCAAGGTATACTACTAATTTTTTAGGTAATAATTGCACTCCTAATTGCAGTCTATTTTTATTTCTAATGCTGAAGAGAAATGCATTGTTTACTCTATGTGACTGCAACCCAATTAATATTGTAAATGGCTGTTCTAAGTTGACTGGTAAAATTTTCAAGAGAGGTGACTCAATGTAAGCATCATTTGTTAAAATGACACCTGATTCTGTTAAATGGAACCCCTGAGGTAATGGTGTAGGTGATGACGGTACAGCAGTCACTGATGATGAATGTCTTACATCTTTGCCTCCAAGGCCTAGCTGATGAAGAATATCTATGCCTGGGAATTAAAAAGAGAGAGAGAGAAAGAGAAAGAATCTTACTCTTATGCATTCATGTGTTCATATAAATGTTTGAATATGAGAACATATTCCTTGTCTGTATCAACAGTAATCCCTAAAATAAGCATGCTTTATCAATTTCCAGGTAATGAAAGATAAGGAGAGGAAGAGTAAAATGTTATACTCATAATTTGAAACACACACATACATACAAACATAGCCATGCGAGTGTGCACGCACGCACATGCACACACACGCACACACACTAATATTCCTAAACCCAAAATTCAATAAATGTTCCCTCATTTTTCCTGATCAATTAGGAATCTTATTTGTTACTCCAATGAATATTACTTAATTTAAAACTTAAAATTTTATGACCTCTATGTTAAAGAGGAACAGGGGACACAGTTACCAAAAAAAATTTATAACTTGGAAATCATTTTATAAATTAAGTTCACATAATCTTTAAACTATAGTTTTTCAGGCTATTTTCCCTTGTGGCCTTCTGGGAATTTACAAGTTATATAAAAGTTTTCCCTATGCCTAATACCTTAAGTTTGCTACACATAGAGTATTCAGTCACCTTGATATCTCCTAGACAGGAGAACCTTAATTCCTATTGTTGATGATCACATACTTTTTCTTTCCATTCCAAGTTTCTCTTGCTTCCATTATTTTCTCAGTCCTCCACAGTAATTTTTATCCAAACAATTTTTAGACTCTTTTTCAATAATTATTATATAATATAGGTTTTATGTAATACAAAATTTTATAAAATTATGGCCTTTCCTGGTTTATTTTTATTGTGGTGTTACTAATAGTATACTGTGTCTCTCCTTTATCCAATTATAAACTCTTAGAAGACAGATTCTATGTGTCTGATTCATTATTGGATATCTACTATTCTTGCCTTGCAAATAGTTCTACAATTTCTAGATTAATGAATATGCCCCACCAGGATCTTATCAGATGCCACGTTTATCTCTGAGTCTTATAAAATAAAATACAATTTGTAAAGAATGATGATAATTTCTTAGAGATATAGAACAGTTTCATCAGCCATATGATCTTTATGATTTTGGAGGTTATAAACCTCCCACCTGTATCTTTGTACATATATAATCATTTCCAATAAGAAATGTCAAAGAATATTAATTCATTAACTGTGATAACAGAAAAAAATAAACATTTTTGAAGATTAGCCAAAAAAACTGTGAATCATCTTAGTTTTTCTTTTATAAAAAATTAGTAGATATTTGATGTTCATGTTTATTACAAATAGCAAACATAATGGCAAATATAACTCATGCATTATCTAGCAATACAATTAAAATGTTTTCTCAGCAGAGAACTATACAAAATACTCCAGTGTTTTAAGGTTATAACAATCATTATATTTATAAAGTAGTTGTAGTTTTATAATAGTTTTAAAAGTTATAAATGTTTGTATCTAAGACACAGTATGACAGCAACTCAATCTTTTCCACCAAAACATTACTAACAGCAGTTTAGAATTATATGTCTCCAGGAGTTTGGAGGAATATTTTAAAGAGGCCCCATAAAAACACAAAAAATATCTTGACTTCTCATATTTTATAATTATAATTTAGGAAACACTTTAATTTTACTCTATAATATGGCTATTTTTTTAATATAAAACATAAATTACAAGTTAAATCAGTTAACTATCCCCATCCCCAATCTTCATGGAAAATTTATACTTCTGAAACATGTCTGCTTAGTCTGACTTTGGGTACTCTTGCCCAATATATCTGCCTCTGTGGGTGTGCGTATCTCAATCTGAGAAGTAAACTATGTTAGAAACACTACTCCTATAAAAATCACAATGCTTAAAATATAATCATATATTATGTGAAAGTTATCATTCTAAGATGCTAGATAGGCTATCTTTACACAAAGGAAGTGCCACATTTATGTGGTATGATAACAAGAGCTGCTCCTTGCCCAAAGAAAACTTCTCCTTGCATTTAACAATAACCCCTGCTATCTAGTACCTCAGATTTCCAATGCTATTAAAGGAAATATTCCTGGAAAGAGTATTATTTGAAAACTTCATTACATATATGTATGTGTGTTTAATATTTCATATATATTTTTCCTTTAATTCTATTTTATTTGAGTTTTTATAACAAATAGCTGAGATTAAGGAAAAAATGGCTTTTGAGAATTTGCTATTCAGTAAGTGTCTTGTTATTGAACCATCCTTGCATTCCTGAAATAAAATCTACTTGATGGTTATATATTATTCTTTTGATACCTTGCTGGGTTCTTGAAAAATAATGTATGTAGAACCATCACATCAATATTTATAAGTTAAGACTGGTCTGTGTTTTTTCTCTTATTGTACTATCTTTATCAGACTATAATATTGATTCATTATTTTCTATGGCCTAATTTAAATTGAATTTATTAGGCTATGTTTTAAAAACATAAAGTACAAATTAGATACCATTCTCTCATCACAATGCTAACAAGTTACATTTTAATAACAAAATTAGAAAACAAAAAAACAAACAAAACCCTTTAACTGGAAAATGTAAAGGTTTTCTCCTAAATCATTTGGATCAATGGGAAAATACAAATAAAAATTACATGGTTTTTAGAAAACAACAAAAATGAAAATACTGCAGATCAAAATCTATGGGATACAGCTCTAGAATTATCTTTTAGAAAAAAAGATTTATATTTTTATTGTTACCTTTAAAATTATAAATTTACACAATGTCCCTAGTCCTCTTTATTTAGACATATCTATTATTTCTTTCCTATGAACAGTGTTTCCTTTTTCTCTTTCTTCCTCCTCCCCTTTACCTTACCATCTAATATTAGCCAGTAGAATTAGCGTTCTTAGCATTTACCTTTTTATTATTAAATATCCTGATAGTATTTTTTTATTTGCTTTATCAGCTTTGGATAATATTAATTCCCAGCTTCTACATATGAGCCAGTCAGCAAACTTAATATACCTCCTGTCTTTTTTCCCTCTTCCCCTCCCATTTGTCAGTGATTGTACCATTCCTACATTAATTCATATGGTAACTTATATGCAGTTCTGTTCCCACATTTTCTTCTGATAAATATAGCCAGTCTTTTGCAGTCATTTTCTCAGTTATTTATTTTTAATGAAGTTATCCTCTATTAGTCTCCTCAAGAAGCATTCATGGGAAATTTTCCTGGATGTTTGACTTTTTAGAATTGTTTGTTGTTATCCTTGTATCTTAAATTTCATTGGATATAAAATTCTTTGCTGATACTTTCTTTCCTTAAATATCTTATAGATATGATTCCACTATCTTTAGGTGTGGAATGTTAGGATAGAAAAATCTGAAGTCAGCTAATTTTATTTCTCCCCTAAGTGACTCAATTTTTTTTGTTACCAACATGCCCCAAAGAGAAGTTCTTTATCTTTGAAGTGAAGTGCATGCAGATTTTATTAGGATATGGCTTCATATTGACCCTTCTGGATAAATATTTCCAGGCATACAGTATGCCCATTTGTTGTATAGATCCAAGTTTTGTTGTTGTTGTTTACTTCAGCAAAGTTTTCATGAATTATATCCTTGAATATTTGTTCTATTTTATAGTGTTGGTTTTCTTCTTCAAAAATTCCTATTATAAGTATGTTTAATCTCCATTGCTATCTTCTATGTCTATCATTTCTCTGCAATCTTTTAAAATATGTTCTTTATCTTCAGTTCTGTTATTTTCTCACTTCTGTCTTTACAGTGTTTCCTATAATATCTAATCTCTCTTTGTGCTCCTTCCAATCTCATCTTGATTTATATTATAAAGGTTTTTTCCTACTACATCTTTTCTGAGTTCTACAAGCTCACAATTCATATTCTTTTAACGTCTTGCCATATCTTCCTTCTCTTGAGTTCTTACATTTCTGTTTTATGATCTTCCTTCATAGAGGTGTTTTTTTTTCTTATGTATGCATTCTCATTTTGCTGCTTTCCCCTATATATTCCTTACTGTACCTTTCTATTTATGCTGTGCCAGTTGCTTTTAGTTACTTATTATTTCATAGCCCAACAATTTATAAAAGGATGCTGAGGGAGAAGACAGAGGGCCATGCCTTCCAAATCTCAAAACCCAAATGCTGTTTCAGCATTACCGGCATTCCTTCTCAAATGGCTTTTTGATATAGCCTCACCTTCTTCTCTAAATCAAACCTATCTAGCAGAACTTCTACAGCCAGCCCAGCTGGCAACACCTTACTCTCCTTCCCCTATATCTGCTCTCACTGGTATATGCTTCAGAATGAATCCTTCACCTTACAAAGTAGGTTTGTGCATGTTCTGAGATCTGTCCCCACTGAGCCATCTAGCTATTATCTGTACTTCTTTCTTGTACTTGCTCCTGGGCAGCTTCTGTCCTCCCCAGATCCTGTAGCACTTGTTTTGTACAAGGGCTCAAAGTTAAGTACTTCAGGGTATGCTCCTCATCTTTGAGAAGTGTGTGGTTATGCTGGCACTTATATGCTTTTCTCAGCGTATTTTGAGAGTTTGCAGATTTTATCAGTCCCCTAGTTTTGCTGAAAATGGAGTTTTCAAGGTTATTTATTATTTCATTCATCTTTTCTTTTCATATGATATCCAGAAATGGAAGTGGGAAGATAATATCTCATGGTTTCATGTTTATACTTAAAATCTATACCTATTTCACAGATGAAGAATCTGAGGCCCAGAGAGATTACATAACCTAGTCAAGTCATATAGCTGATAAATAGTAGAAATGGATCCAATCAGTCCAATCAGTATAGCTTCAAAGTCTCTAATCTTTGCCCCACCACACTGCCTCACAGCCACTCTATGCTCCACATCACCTCACATATCCCTTGGCAAGCCTCGTGAATCAATCACAGTTATTTCTTCCCACAGAATCTCACAGTGGGAATACTGTCTAGGTAGCCACCAGAGTTGGTATCTGAGTGGATATCTAAATGTTAATCCAGTTTTAAACTTTCAAATCT